TAGTGCACTCGACTTAGGTCTTCCATTTACTCTCAACTGCCCTTTTATAAGGCAGGCTCAGATGTCTACAGTACAGCAGCAGCATGCCATGAAGTGATTTGACTGCTTTACACTTTGACTCCTTCCAGTTGAGCGTGTTTTAACTTGCGGGATCGTGACTTGTAAACACATACAGTGCTCTACGAGCTTTGTGTTTTATTTGCATGCATTTACTGTGAAATAAGTGAGGAGCTACTGTAATCTTCTAAGTTGGTAGGAGGGTTTTTTCTTAAAAATAAAAAAATCACCCCCCAGAGCAGAATACCTTGGCATTTTTAGCATACTGTCCAGGTAGATTTGTCACTATTACTTTCCAGTATAATAATATTGTGGTCAACTTTTTTTTTCCCCCCTAAGAAAAAAGTCATGTGATAGCATGAGGCTACGGAACATACCCAGTTTCATGGATTTCAACCTAATGTATGCAAAGGCATATTAGATTTTTCAGTGTATTAAAGCTGTTTAAAAAAAAAAAAAAACAACCTTTAAAATAGATTAAAATGGCATGACAACTGAAACATATGGGGACAGTTCTTAACACTGCAGCCTCTTCATATGTAGATTTGTCTGGTCTTCGTTGAACTAATTAGATTAAACAAAGGCTTTCCTGAGATAATCACTTTGCAAGCCTTTTCCTATATTACAGCAGCCAGCATTAGTGTGTAGCTGAAGGTCAAATGCTAGTACCAGCTAATACTTAAAATCTGAATGCATAGTGCTCATGCAGATGAATAAATTAAATTGAGTATTACAGGATATGTAATTGTTGAAATTCTGGATCTTAAGGAGTATGAGTTCATTGGAAATCTTAAGATTTAATTTTCTTAATTCCTACTAAAAGGTTTCCTGATGATTGGTGACTCCTTGGTGAAGCCAGCATTAAACACAAATTGCATAATAGGCGTTGGCGTAGGTGGTTCTGTGGTGTATTAGTTCCTGTGCATTTGGGCAATAGTAATTGTGCTACCTTTGACCTCTCCTGTTCACATTTGATTGTGTTGCCACTTCAAACTATTACTTCAAGGTAGTCCTAATTTTAACCAGTGTAGAAGGAGGATTATAGCTTGCTTCCAAATAAAGGGCTTAGTCTTACTTATGTCTATGAAGGACTATTTCTGGAGACCCTTATTGAAGCGTGATTATCTTTAAGGGCTGTCACAGGAGCAACTGTATTTTCTTTTTTCAGAGAAAAGAAAACTAACACAGTTTTGTAGGAAACATTGCAGTTTCTTCTAGCTTGGTCAACATGGTATGTGCTGGTGGCACTGGACGGAGTTATAGCCTACAGTCTTGTCATGCTGCGGTAAACATCTCTGTGTATGTGTTTGACTTTTTGTGTCTCAACTAGAGACTCATGAAACGACTGACTTTTTACACAGCTGGGAGCAGCTAATCTTTGATTCAATTATTTTAAATTATTGTCTTCACCGCATAACAAAACACACTCGGCTATTGAATGTCAGTTTGATGCAGTTCTCCTGGCAGACAGCCACGATGACTTTGAATTAGTGGAGCTGTCACAGTCATGGAACAGCAGCATCTTTTCACAACTGTTTGCACAGGCATCTTCAGCCTACCTATAATGGTAGTGTCAGGTGCCTTTACAGTACAGGATTCTTTGTCTCCCAGGTTTTACATACTGGAGCTTTGAAGTTGCTGCTAGTGTTAAAACAGGATGTGCCTAATAGCAGACTGACTTCTCTCTCTTAATCATATGATATGCAGCTTTAATCTGGACGCTAGTGTGTCTTCAGCTGAGTTAAAACTTTTGATAAGCTGTAATTCATGTAATGGTGTGCAAGCAGCTGGTAATGGTTACCACAACTACCTGATTTCAAAATTTGAGATATTAGTGGATTGGAAGCTTAGAGTGAGTTGCTTCAGAGCTCGTGGTGCTCAAACAGTGCATTTCAAGTGGCTGCTGGAAGAGTAGAGTTTAGAACTGTGGAGCACTGATCCAAACAAGTAAAATAATGGAGTACTGGGAGAAAGAAATATTAGATGATCTGTTTGCCTTAAGGAATATGCTTTATTTTCTGATACTAAAATTTCAGGATTTGCAGCTTCCTTCTACATTGTCACTTTCTTGTTACCGCAGCAGACTGTTGGAACTTGCTGTAACAGGAAATGTTTAAATGTTGCAAGGTTTGACATTAAAGATATTTCTTAAAGAAACTTGTAGTGATATATTACAGTAGAAAACAGCAGAGAAATTTGGTCAGGATATACATTCATTCTGAACTTGTGCTTTTACACTGTTGAAATGCTTGGCAAAAAATGTAGCTACTGGAGTAGGTTGATTTTTGGTCTGTTCATCAAAAATTGTTGATGTTTAGTAAAGTTTTTTATGATTCGGATCTGTTCTTGCTCAGAATTCAGGGTTTAAAGAGCTTTTGTCACTATTCCTCTGAGTTTTCCGGAAATATTTCTGAAGTGGGATGTGCAGAATAGTCTGTAATGTTACAACATCTGATCTGCAGAATTGTACTGCTTTTGTATGAATGTAAGATTCAAGAAGATGTTTGTGAACCCTGAAGATCTGCTGGTATGTTAGGACACCAGGACATAGGAGAAGTCCTTTCAGTATAAAAACTTAGCAATAGCTAAGAGTATTACGTCTAAGTGAAAATGAATCCAGGTGACAGAAAAATGCTTGGGCTGGAGTGTGAAGCACAGTATGAGTTACTAAATGATGTTATTGCTCTTCTCACGAGGTCAAGTGAAAACAAGTATTGGTATGGCTTACAACTCCATTGCAAAGCTTTTCAGTGGAAAGTTAGCAGTGACTAGAGCTGTAGCTTTTCTAACCTCATATCTGAGGTGGTATTGAATTTAGGAATTATTTGGGAGTTATTTGAATTTAGGAGTTATTTGGGCCTGAGGTGGAGAGCCATGGTTAGAATCTTGAATTGAGCTTTTCTGGACAGTCTTAATTATATTTGAATCAATTTTGATTACAATTAGTTGTTGGACACTGTGTTTGTTCTATTCTTCTGTAATTAGCAGCTACTGTATCTTTTCCATATCTATACAAACTCATTTGCCTGATCTGTTTCTTATTACACTGTTGCAACTTGTGAACAGGTGCCAGTTGGCCAACAAATTCAACGTTTGCTGGTTAAATAAAGATGAATGGCGCCTTGAAAAAGCATTCTTTCATACATGATTTGCATGAGTCCCATCACTTATAGGTTACCACATCTGACTGTAGCATGTTCTGCTGAAGAATACAGCTGAAGAAAACTGAATCCTAGCACGCAGGTTAATGCCATTGACCTGAGCTCTTAAACTATTGCAATAGGTTCGTTGTTGTTGCTGTTGTTGTTATTTCTGAGATTTTTCTTCACTTGACATGAAGAAAGCTATCGAAGTTTAAAATGGAATTTCTATGTCAGTTAAGTTGATAGTATAAGATGCAGAAATTTTACGCGTATAAATATTGTTTGATGCCTTTTATCTCTCATTGGAAAATGACCATAGGTAATCATTTTTTCTCAGAATTTTCTAGATGTAGGACCAGAAGAACAGCCTTAGTGATGACATTTTCACTCCTATGTCTGTATCCGTGGTTGTCTTCAGTGTAAATGCAGTACTGTGACTAGATGTCCAGTATGGTGGGTCAGATATGGATGTAGCTTATTGTTTCTGGAGCAGAGAACTGAGACTTTCCAGAACACCTAAATTCCAGGTTATTAGGTGCTTATTTGTAGATGTTCTGACCTGACAGTAGCCAGAAATCTTTCATTTGCGACTCTTTGCCTTTGCTTATGAATGAGCCCATGATACAATTAGTTTTCACTGCGACCCCAGTAGAGTTTCTAAATGAGATTCACTAAATTTGAATATTACCTGTGGCCTGGTTGGGTGAGGGGTGAGCAGGTGGTGGTGTGGTAGACAAATGGGCATGTGGCACCTTGGAGTCATGTTGACCTGGAAGTGCCCAAGTTATTTTCCATCTGAAGCTGGCAACTTTAATGTGTCATGAGGAAATATATAGTTAATTGTGCTCACCTTGACCTGTTAGGTTATTAAAGCTGACCTATGTGATGATGTGATGAGGCTCCTGTCTTCTGCTTGAAGCAGATCTTTATATAGGCATGAAAAGTTTGTGGATTCACTGTTTTGTTAAATGGCTACATGTGTATATGCAGAAAATGTCAGCTGAGTAGGAAATTACAAATAATAGAGTGCCTGTGCAGGTCAAATCCTGTGGGTTGGTGTTAACTGGAATAGCTGACCTTAGTCTTCCATATCGCTTTTTTAGGAGGATTGTGCATTTCTTCTTCTTTTCTTTTCTTTCTTTTTTTTTCCCCAAAAATAAAATGAAGATTCTGTGTAAGGCTTGAGTTGTGATGAAATGGGCTGCAGTGGGGTGTTAAAACTACTTGGACATGAAAATGTGTTCAGATGTATGTCTGCCTGAAAATATATTCTTAGTGACAGTACAAAAGTGGTTCATGTGTGGTTTTAGCTTACTGCTGAAGCTGTTATCCTTGAGATTTGCAGAAATGATTTCAAGCATGTGCTCGGAAGCTTGCTCGTCTTGAGCTCTGAGACTTCTCCGGTGTTTTTGTTGTATCAATGTTTGTGACCTGAGTGTGTTGTTAACTGCGTGTTGCCCGTAGTGGATGTTCCATATTTTATTTCCCTGGGAGCTGATTTACTTCCAGGCATTTATAAAGGTTTCCTGTTGGTGACAAACCATAGGGATGTACCGAGCAAAATCTAAGATGTGAAGACAACGGCTCTTCTGAGAAGTTAGGGAGTTGCAATAATGCAGGGTTATTTTGGGACAGGAAGCATTTATTTTATGCCTTATCACTATGCCAGCTGAATACTGACTAAAAACATTGTGACAAATATATAGAACTCGTCTTTAAGCAGAAATTTGTTCTGTAGCCTCAGTAAGATAGGATGGTCTTGCAATGTGATATATTAATCTGTGTTTATTCTTTCTCTAGATTGTGCCTGTCATTTGGCTCGGGGAACACAGCTCGCCATGGGACGACCTCAAAGATATCTCTCCAGAATGGGTCTCTTACTTGGGTGATGTGTCTGCTGCCTTGACTGTCTTCATACCCAGAGGATTTATTTTCCTTTTGGAAATATTTTAAGCTGAAGTCTTATTCCTTACTGGAAATTACCGACGCTAAAGACTGCATACAAGATGGGTGATATGGCAAACAACTCGGTTGCATACAGTGGTGTAAAAAATGCTGTCAAAGAAGCAAATCATGGAGAATTTGGAGTCACTCTTGCAGAGCTCCGCTCTCTTATGGAACTTCGAGCTACAGATGCACTGCATAAAATACAGGAATGCTATGGAGATGTGCAGGGCATCTGTACAAAATTGAAAACTTCACCAAATGAAGGTAAGATGATTTTCACATTATTACTGAGAAAATTCCACTTCAGAAGTGTTTCAGTCAAACTAGTTTGTTTGTCATTGTTGTTTTAATATAAGAAAGTTTATAAAGGTATTTCAGTTACTATAATAATATATGTTTCTTCTCTAAAGCAGGTTTAAATAAGCAAGGGTTTCCAACTGGTCCAACTGTGCATCATTTTGATTTAGTGGCAAAATTGCACATAGGAGGAAGCTTTGATGTAGGAATCCAGATAGGAAATAGAAATGCAAAACAACAGTGTTTAACCTGCTATGAATGTGTAAGTTTGTGAACTAAGGGATGTCATAGAACAAGGTTCTAGTAGTCTAATGCAGGGCTAATTAGTTCTTGTGTGTTGTGACCCAGCTTTTGCATTCCTTAATATAACAGATTTCACTAGTTTTAAAAATTGCTATGTAATTGTACTGTAGTACAATACTATGGGATTTCTAAGCCACGTCTAACTTAAGTCTTCATAATTCACTATTCTTCTGTAATTTTCAGTTGATCAACAAGATTAACTGTTGGTATAGCTTCAAGGCTCTGAAAGATGCTATAACCACGAGTAGGAGGTATGCAAAGTAATATGCATTCTTGGTCTCTAGAAATAAGGATCTTTTAAACAAATGTTTGCCATTTCAGACTCAGTGGCATTCTGGAAATGTCACTATTTATAAATGTAATGAGTGTCCTTGCTGAGAGCTTTCCAGAAGTTTTCTTGAACACTTAACCCTCTTTTCCAGTTGAAGTGAAAACTGTGAGTTTTAATTTGTGGAAGAAATAGGCTCCAGTTGTGTTGCTTATCTAAATTATATTATCTCATTGAAATCATTTTTTTTTAAACATGTTTAGCTTATGTTAAGTTGATGTCCTGCTGTCGATAGAGATTGATACCAAGTACCAAAATCAAGATACTGGCAAATTCTGCTGTCTCTGCATTTAAGCACTCTCACAGCTTTTAAGCAGTTTCATGTTGGTAACAGTGAAGTACTTGCTGTCTTAATTCTGGAGAGGTATTGCTTTCTGTCCTTCTGAAATGCTATGGAAATTTTTTGTCGTCTTGTCTCAAGAACAGCCCAGTAATGCCTACATTTGGGACCTGCTTTAGCAGAGGGGTTGATCTCATTGATCTCTTGAGGTCCCTTCCAACTCCTGCAATTCCATGATTGTGTAATGCTGAAGGATACTTCTCTGTGCATCTACATGTAGTGTATTTTGGCTTTCTCTATCAGATTCCTTAAGTCCAGATTGCTGAAATGATTTCTGAATGTCAGCTGGGTTCCTTTTAACAAATGGCAAGTAGCTAGCTCATATACCCGATGGACCACTAGACCAGTTTTAGGCTGACAAAGAAACACGTACAACCTGAGGGATGCAAACTCTGTTTCTCATCATCAGCTGTTCTAAAGTTAGTGCATGTGTACAAGCAATGTAACATTCTTAGGTTAAGAGCAGTGGTATCCTGGCACCTTGTGAACCTGTTGAATGGTATTGAAAGTTATTTGTTTTGGTTTTTTTTGTTGTTGTTTTTGTTGTTTTTTGTTTGTTTTTGTTTGTTTGTTTGTTTTTTCATTTGATGTTTTTCCAGTGAGAAGGGAAACTTCAGTAGTATTCAAAAAATCGGGACTGAGCTGAGGGTGCAATCCAATTCTGCAGTGGTCTGTGAAGCTTAAGGCCCGTTATTACAATCTATAAAGATGCATGTTCATGAAAATCACCAAGCAGATGGTGTACTGCAGGGTTCACTTCATGGGTGTCCTGTAACGTCACACAGCTAGATAGCAGACTGATTCCACTGTACTGAGAGCTGCACAATCAGAGCCTTTCCTTTTAAAAGAGCTTAACATTTTAGATGTGTTTAACAATCGCTAACTTGATAAAAAGATGCAGCTTGTTTATAAGTGTGACAGCAGCTCAAAAGTTTGCAATAGATTTGCAAAAAGATTCAATAGCTGAACTTGATAATTACATCAGTAAAGGTTAAGATGAGTTACAAATTGTACAGAAATGGTGTTTTGGTTCTAAATCCCTATGTGAATTTTTCGAGAATAAGGTTGTCTCAGAAAGGTATTACTGTAGAATTAATATAGAAGAACTAGGTCTCAGTGTTGTTATTCAAGGTGTAAATGTTAAAAGCAAAGAAATTTCTAAGGAGAAAACCTGAACAGGACTATGAAAGCTGCTTAGGAGTTAAGTTTGATCGTCATGAGTTCTTTCCAACTCAGAATAGTTTATAGTTCTGTTCTGTGCGTTATACTACTTCGAGTTCTCTGAAGTTACGTGCGTCTCTACGAGGCCTAATGACACTTCTTATTCAGAAGGTCTCTATGATATGAAATGCTGGCTTGCATAATTACTAGTGCTTCACTGCAAAAGTACAGACAGTTTTGAAATGGAGTGAGCAAGTTCGGTGTGTTATTGCTTGCTTTGAGGCTGTTGACAATGTAAGATATTGTCTCTTTTCAGACAAAATGAAGATCAGACCTACTTGATATGAAATGAGAAATAGAAATAGAACTATCTTTGACCAGTATCACTTTAAATAAATTAAATGCTTACTATTTAATGCTGATGCTTATGTCATTTTTATGTGTACAAACTCAAATAAGATCAAATAAATGAACGTTTGATGTATCTACAATAACAAAATCCTCTGTGTTTTCTGGAGAGAGACTGCCATCAATGTTTCCATAAGTCTACATCATTTTGATTGTTTACTAGTTCCTACTTGATTCTAGGAAATGACTGTTGGAGTAGTTAGATTATCCATTTAATATCAAAGCCAGTTGCGTACTTGTTGGTTACCTAGTGTGTTTTTAATGCCTTGATAATCCCTAAGCAGTTGGGTTAACTGCTGAAAAACTACTGCTCAGAAAATTGCCATCTTTGTTGTCTTTGTTAAAAGGAAACACACATAACAACAACTTGAAACAATAAGGTTGTGAGGTATCCAAAGCTCTGCTCTGAATACAGCAAAGAGTTGATTCATTTTCCCTTCCAAAAGGAGCTAATGGTGCAAATTAAAAACTGTAGTGAGGCACTAGGCGACTGACTATTGTTGAAGGCTTCAACAGGAACTAAATATATGGAAGACCTTGGGTGCATGACTTTGCACTTAATGTTCTTGGTATTCTTTTGTTTTTATGGGCTTAGCTAACTGTTGAAGGATGCAGCAATTTCTGGTGGATGTCCCTCACTCTTAATTATTGGCGTCCTCAAGGATGGTGCGAGAACTGAAGCAGTGAAAAGGATTCAGAAAGAAATATAGTACCTAAGAAAGAAGGCGAGCATAAAGCTGAGATGATAAACCATAAGGACTGACTACATATGCAGTTCCACATAGGCTCTCTGATAGGGGATGTGAAGAGATAGAAGCTTCAGAGTAGTCAACAACTGCTGTCCAGATTGAAGCAGCACTGTGGCTGCTACTCACCTTGTGATTCCTGGAGAGCTTCAGTGACTGTAATAGGGTTTTATATAATAAATAATGCATAAACTTGGCATTCATAGTATTTTAAATTGTTAATTTAATTAAACATATCATCAAAGTATTAGATGAGCTATCGGGTCCTGAGATGCTCTTTCTGAATGCAGAATCCATACTAAGGCAACCAGAGCTGGAGTCCCAGGCTTGCTAGAACTGGATGGTGCTGCTTAGTCTCTGTTGTAGCAGTTCTACTATGTAGGCTGCTCTGAAAGTAATGTAACCTATTTATTTACATGGAAATTACAACAGATGCAAGGAGCACAGTGACACTATTTGATAGAGCTAATTCTCAGCTACAAAACAATGTTTTACAACATGGTCACCACTGTTACAGTGTACTTTTGCCACTGATAAGCAAGAGTTTGTGTTCTTGAAAATCTGCTCAGTGGAGGTGACCAAATGTCATCGATGCTGAAACTCACCACCTCCCTGCTTCACTGTGCTCACATCTACGGTTTGGTCACCATAAATGGTCAGCAAGTATCAATGAGTGTTAAGAAGTGCAATTTTTTCCACATGGAGGAGTTCAGTTCCACACATTTGCTTCATTTGTGTTCCCATGTCAGGTATCATTTTGTCTGACTGCCCCCTGCTGCCATCTGTAGTGGAATATTGGTGGGAAGGCTCAATCTTTACCAACGTGCCACCAACCACATCTGCCTCTGATGCAGCAGAGCAATGTAATAAAATAGGAGGCATTACTTTTGGAGCAGCCCTCTAATAATCTTGTCTTGAACGCTTATTTACTTTTTTTTTTTTGGGGGGGGGGGAATGTCAGTGTTATTTTGTTGTTCCACCACATTAAGTACAAGTAGGTAGACCTTCATTTTCTTGATTATTGGTGAAATGTGAGTTATGAAATATAGCAAGTCTGGTTTAAGGATGACGCCTGTGTAAGTGTACATGATATGTTTTCTTCAGTATTATTATAAAATATGGAGTGACACATGACTCCATGAATAGGGAATCACTAACTTTGTCTTCTTACTAAATAGGTTTAAGTGGAAACCCAGCAGATATAGAAAGGAGAGAAGCAGTTTTTGGGAAGAACTTTATACCTCCTAAAAAGCCAAAAACATTTCTTCAGTTAGTATGGGAAGCACTACAGGATGTTACACTAATTATATTAGAAATTGCAGCCGTAGTGTCCTTGGGCCTTTCTTTTTACCAGCCTCCTGGAGGAAATGAAGCATGTAAGTAAATGAAAAAGTAGATACCTACCTCTGTTATACTACTGACTTGCTTTGTCCAGCATGCTACTATTGTGAATCTGATAGACGATAATAAGACGGTGGAAATGTAGCTGATTATTCCTCATGGAGACAGTACTAGGACTCTTATTGTGCCTTAAAAAGGCAACACAGGACTTCCTATGTCATGATCTAGGCTGATTCTAGACAAAGTAGTGGAAAAGATGAAATATAAGCAGCAGGAGCTATGATCTGTCTGAGATCAGCCAAGCTTCTGCACAAGTATCTTGCTAGCTTCGTCTCAAATATTTAAGCAATTTGTAACTTGTGTTCATCGGCTTTCTTTAGGAAGTCAGTGTGTCTTAATTTTTTCATGATTTTGCACTATGGCACTTGTAACTGTCCAATTTAAGAAATGAAGCTAAAAGTTCAAAACAGAAGGTAGAGGGATCTGGCCTCAGTTAAACCAAACTTTCACAATTGCATCTGGTTTGTTGGGAGAAGGGTAAAGTAGGAAATGTTGGCGTCAGGAGGTGGCTAACTAGTAGTCCAATCTTTGCCTCTTAACGCATGTCATGTAACAAGATAATGCAAACTGGGTAACTTTCTCTGTCAGCTTCTCTTGTGTTTATATAAACACGGACGTTCTTTGTGTGCTACCCTTATTGAAAATAATCTAAAATTGCTGTAAAAGCCAGCAAGGAGAATGTTTAGCAACCACTCTTCTGTATGGGAGAACTTTTGTTTTATGAAATAATTCTCTCTGCAAGCCTTCTGCTCTAAATGCTCTAAATCTTGTTTCCTACAGTATGTGGATCAGTAAATGTTGGTGAAGAGGAGGAGGAATCTGAAGCAGGTTGGATTGAAGGAGCAGCAATCCTCCTTTCTGTAGTTTGTGTTGTATTAGTAACAGCTTTCAATGACTGGAGTAAAGAGAAACAATTTCGAGGACTGCAGAGCCGTATTGAACAAGAACAGAAATTCACAGTCATCAGAGGTGGCCAGGTCATCCAAATACCAGTAGCTGACATAATTGTTGGAGATATTGCACAAGTGAAATATGGTAAACTTTTTTTTGAGTTCAACTTTATTTTGTTTTCGAAGAAGTATCTGAAGTCAACACACCTAATGATCTCTTGTAGGTGACCTTTTACCGGCTGATGGCATCCTTATTCAAGGAAATGATCTCAAAATTGATGAAAGCTCACTAACTGGAGAGTCTGACCATGTTAAGAAGTCTTTGGACAGAGATCCTATGCTGCTTTCAGGTGTGTAGCATTGAAAGAATGTGATTAGCTTTCCTTTGGGAACTGATGATTTTAAATTGTGATATTTAGATCTAGGGAACTGGACCTTATCTAGGCTGATATCTTCTGCAAAACTTTGTCCAAGCAAACAGATTCTTAAAGCTGATGAGCATTTCGTGTGGTTGATTATGGCTTTATTTTCCAGATAGTTTTTGCAATTATTTTACTGTGTTTTAAGGTACCTATATGCATCATCTTTTGATTCTGTCACTATGAAGTTTGAGAATGGATTTCCTATGTGCTCTTCATACAATAGTTCAAGTTTCAATGGAAAATCCAATACCCTGTTCCAGGTACTCATGTGATGGAAGGCTCTGGAAGGATGGTAGTTACTGCTGTAGGTGTGAACTCTCAGACAGGAATCATCTTTACTTTGCTTGGGGCTGGAGGAGATGAAGAGGAGAAGGAAAAAGAGAAGAAGGACAAGAAAAGTAAGCATAATAATCTTGTTTCGTTAGGAAGGAAGGGGTGAACTCTTGAATATTGTAGAATGGAAAAGTATTATAGTCACCTGGAGCTAGAGATCTGTAAGTCTTATTTTCAGAGGGTTCACAGGAAGGAAAAAAAAAAAGGGGGTCCAGGGGCCTGGAAGTGTGCATCATTAAAAAAAATACATAACAAAAGCTTAATTAACAACTTCTGGTCACATTGATGAATTAGGGGTTGGGAAGTTTAGCCAGTCTTATTGTGTATAACTTGTTAAACTGTCATCTCACATAACTTTAAAGTACATTCATGTTTCATAACAAACACTTGTTTATGACAAAGGGGTTATTAACAATAAATCAGCCTAATGAGCATCTAGTTCTGCTTTTAATTGTGTCTTGTAAGGCAAGCTTTTTAATGAAAAAATCCCATTTGAAAAGGAGAAGTTTGTATCATTGATGTGCTGAGCTCGTGGGTAATTTAAGTAGAAATATAACATATTTTGTTAAAGGTAAGCAGATAGTTTCTTCTTTCAGCCCTTTTCCACAGTTGTAAATCTCAAAGAAGTACAAAATAAAAGAATTTAGTGATACTTTTCTGTAAACTTTCCTTTCAGAAAAATAAGGAAATTGTAACCCAGACCATATTAGAGCTCTTCTGTGAAGGGTGAAACAGGACATCTTCCTTATTTGGAAGGCTTTAATCAGCTACTGGCGTTATAAGTCATAATCTTTCATCTTGCCTAAGAATCAAAGCCTAGAAATGCTAAATAGTGATGTTTTGATGCTAGCCTTCATAAGATGTGTTAGGTGGTGAACTTTACCACCACAAAGTTTTCGTAGAAACCGTTGTGAGATTCACTGAATGGGAGGGAGTCTGTGAGGGTTTTTGCAGAAAAGTATTCTCTTTATTCAAAGGAATAAGAAATGATGATGGGAAGCCATATAGGAATGTGCTTAGGAATCTTGGCTTTCAAACTGAGTTGGTGATGATTGAAATGTGTGCTCTGTGCAGGGGTTAAGATTGAACTGTGCTTTTTTTCTTGGTAGCCGTATCTACAAGTAACTTCAAAATTCTGGCCCTTTCTGAAATTTGGTTTGAGTTCAGAGTGAGATTCAAGCTTAAGTGGAATAGTGAAGAGTAGAAGCTGATTTGCAGCACTGTCAGGAATTGATTTAGAGCATTTTCTACTTTTTACTCTTCTCTGACAGAGGAGGGAGAAGTAAGTAAGCTATACTAGCTGCTATGGGACAAGATGATAGCTGTTATTAATAGTCTGCTAATATGAATTATAAAAGCAAAAGTTTTTTTGACAAATAGTGTTTTGATGTATTGTTGGAACAGAAAACCTGTTTTTAATTTGTCTCCCAAGATAGGCAACTTCCTCTTTCCCTTAAGTTATGTGACTGTTAAGATTCTCCTTGGTAAAATTCAGGTTAAACTAAATTAGCTTCTCTGTGAATGTTAAGGAGATTAAAGTGGCTATCTTTAGTTGGCTGTATATGTCTTGGTTCAGAGTGAAAGCATGTGTATGTGCAGGGAGTTAGAAGCAATTCAAGTGTTCAAGTGTACAATAACTTTGTTCTTGTAGGAGAGAAAATAGACCTAAGAAAGAACAAATACTAAATCAGCAGGTAATGAATTCTTAACAAGTCCAAAGTGAGATCTTCAGGGGAAGATGAGCATGCTGTTTTTTCTCATTAGCTGTTCAGAGGATGCTGGAAGAAAAGCTTGTATGTAAAAAAACAGATATCAGTAGTAATACAACAGTACACTGGAGGTACTAAATGTCATCCATGATAGGATGCTTGACAAGTTGATTTTCTTCTAGCTGAATTTTATTCTGTTTCCTTCTAGCTCTCATTCACTTCAGGCTACTTACTTTAAAGCAGAAGATAAAATGAAATAGCAATGAAACTGAACAATTCTGGGTTTTGTTTAAGGTTCTTTGACTTTATTCTTTCATTTGAAGTTACTGCTAATAGTAACTGTAAAGTTAGATTTCTCTAGTTAAGAGAAAAGCTGCCAGTTTGCCGCTTGTCAGGGTATGTAAGCCATCTTACCCGAAACCCAAACAAAAAAGGATAGTGACCTTCTAACAAACTGCTTGTTGACATAGTTAGGTTTAGCTGTATTTAATGTTTCATTCATAAATTTCATTCATTACTTTTTAATTATTCTAATGGTCTTCATGATCTTCTGCTGACCCCCATTTCTGAACAGAGGTAGGAGTGGTATTTTGTTAGGAACTTGAACTATTCCCTTCATTCTTTAATGTTGGTGTGTTGCCAACAGATTATGTTCATGCTTGCGTAAATAGGGTTAGCGTAGATCCAGTAATCCAGCACTGTACCTCCATTAAGCTTTGATGTGGATTTATAAATATTTATTTGTAAAGATATACTACAGTAATTTCTGCAGTGCTATGCAAAAGCACTGATTCTGTAGGTGGAATTTTAAAATTCATTGCAGCAGTAGTCAGGCAGACTTGCCAGTGTTGGAACAGAGTAAGAGTGAGACTGTCAGGATCTCTTGCTTGTCACAAATCCCCTTCCCAGTAAAAGTGCAGGAAAGCCTTTTAGGTGCTTTCCTCACAACTAGACCACTACTCTCTTCAACTGAAGACACTTTGATAGGACAGCTGTCTGGCCCAGCAATGCCTTCTGCTGTATTTTCGTTTAGTTGCATATGAATGTTTGTATCAGTCTGTTCGAACTTAACTGTGTCTGAGTAATGCTTTTCCTGTACGAGACTTCTGCTGTCCGAAAAAAATGAGTTGTTTCTGTGTGTTAACTTACACATCAACTATTTGTGTTAGCCTTCTGTCTCCCAGTTTGATTTACAGTTTTTGAAATAGTTACTTGTCTCAGCAGATATTAATATGTCTTTTAGATAAGCCTTAATACTTAGATGGACTCTGCATGGCCAGTGTGAAACATAACTTGTTCCCTTCTCTGACAGGCAAAAAGCAAGATGGAGCTGTTGAGAACCGCAACAAAGGTAAATGCAGTTTCTGTGATCCTCCCTTCTAAGTACTTATTTTCAGTGACAACATACTTTAGTATGAAAATGCTTATTGCATCCTTACATTCAAAATGCCTCGGTTAAACATAGTCTAAGTAAGTCTTCCTAAAAAAAATGATCAAATGAAAAATGAACTTGATAGTCTTGATAGTAGACATTTCTGAACTTCATTTCTGTGGTATTTAGCTAGATATTCAAGAATGTTATGCCTTCTCTGAATATCAGGTACAACGCAACACTTGTGCTAAGCCAATATAATCAAACTCTGTGTACTGTTGATTTCAGGGATACTAGAATGGCTAAATCTTATTTGTTTGTAACTTATAGCTAAAGCTCAAGATGGTGCAGCTATGGAAATGCAGCCACTGAAGAGTGAGGATGGTGTGGATGGAGATGAAAAAGATAAGAAGAGATCAAATTTGCCAAAGAAAGAAAAGTCTGTTCTCCAAGGCAAACTTACAAAGCTTGCAGTTCAGATTGGCAAAGCAGGTATGCCTCACCAGTACTCCTTTTGCTGATGCCTCACGTTTGCATGAGAAGATAAGCTGATCAAAGCTAGCTACTGAAGTGAAGTGTAAAATTCAAATGCATGTAAGTGTGCCATCATGCTTAAGGGTGCTGATGGCTTCTCTGACTGCATAATACTGGTAATGTTTTTCCTGATTTAAATACTCGAGCTTTAGTGTATTAGCTTCTAGAACAGAAAATTCAGACTTCATAATGTTGGATTACTGTTATAAAAGATATTTCGAGATAAACATAGCATTTAGTGATATATCTGGAGAACAGTAAATTGACCGTAGAGTTCAACAGGCTATTTCTGGTGTTTTCACAATTTCTTTTGCTCTTTTTCTTGTACTATCTTAAGTGTGCCACTCAGCTTGTTAACTTCAGCTCTAATTTGTCTTCCTAGTTATTCCAATGTCATTGAACATTGTGCTTACCTGCCATATTAACTCCCAGCTTCAGCAGGAAGTAAGGTATGAAGAGATACCTGCTTTCTCTGCTGAGTATGTCACCAGTATAGTCATGGAAAGCTTCCTGAACTCCTTTAATTGTTATTCTGAACAGTCAGTTTACTTTACATAATGGTCTCTCCTTCATAATTAGATCTACACTTTTCAATTAATTGGGAAAAAAAAAACCAAAACAACCCATAGTTTATAGGCTTGTAAGTGAAATTCATGAGGAAATACTTGTGTTGAAAGTCAATATACCTCTGAGAACTATCTCCATGTTTTCTGAATTGCCTGTTGAAATTCTGAATTGTATCTTCTACAAAGGGAGAAATGTTTGCCCTTGACTTATCCAGAATCTGTATTGTCAAACATTTTAACTATTTCTTCTGAAAACTGTTTTTTCTCTTTTTAACAAGGTTTGTTGATGTCTGCAATCACAGTCATTATCCTTGTGTTGTATTTTGTGATTGATACCTTCTGGGTTCAGAAGCGACCCTGGCTTGCTGAATGTACACCAATTTATATTCAGTACTTTGTGAAGTTCTTCATTATTGGAGTTACAGTCTTGGTGGTGGCAGTACCAGAAGGTCTTCCGCTTGCAGTCACCATATCATTGGCTTATTCTGTTAAGGTAAGTGGGTGGAAGGGGAGCAGATTCTAAAGACAAACACATTAAGTAAAGACTCGTAAGCAATATTAGACCTTTACTTGTCTAGTCCTCACTCTCTTAGCTGACCAGTTAGGTTCCAGTTTGTATTTGATATAAAGTGTGACGCTGGCATCTTTGAAATATAAATCTTATGGTAAGTCTGGGGCATAGCTTACTTCCTCCTTTGAGTGTGCAGAAACAACAGACTTGAGCCAGTACAATCCCACCTTACTTGTGAAATATGTTTTAATATTGTGATTGATAAAGCTGTATTCATGTTCTGTATACACAAATATCCTTATTAGTCTGAGCTGTAACAGTAGTTGGTCTGACATGCAGATGTGGAGAAAATAGGTTGCTCTGTTTAGGAGCTCTTTGGTCATGCTGATGCTTACTGTGACATGATAGACGTGGGGTAATCCTTACAGCAACTAGCCAGAGAACTTGAAAGATGAGCATGTTCTGAAACTGCTGTCTGAAACTGAACACTCTAAATGAGAATTTCGAAAATGGGGGGTGAAGATTATGGTTGACTATTAACTGCTTTTATTTTCTTAGAAAATGATGAGAGACAATAACTTGGTGAGACATCTGGATGCATGTGAAACAATGGGTAATGCCACAGCTATTTGCTCAGATAAAACAGGAACGTTGACTATGAACAGGATGACAGTGGTCCAAGCTTACATCAGTGAAAAACATTACAAAAAAATTCCAGCACCAGAAGCTATTCCAGAGAATATCATGGCTTATCTTGTCACAGGAATTTCTGTTAATTGTGCTTACACTTCCAAAATACTGGTAAGTACACTTCTTCATTTTAACTGAAACAACTAAACATCTTCAAAAGATGAAAACGGTCTGGTTGCTGCATGGCAGGCAATTAAGGATAAGTGTGTGGCAGAAAACTGTATAGTGTTTTGTACTTACTGTGAATTACTTAACAGTTCAATTAAGGCTGAACTTAAAGAACTTGAATTGATGATCCAAAGGTATGTTTTCTCCTCGTAAGCTGGTAAATTTGTCTAATTTTGTTTTTATAAGGAGAGCTTTTTATTTGGAAGGCATCATAGTTTGATTTGAGCGCTACTTCAAAGTCGACGTTTAAGGGTAGCATAGGATTACCAAAATACGATGGGAAAATGCAGGTGCAGACAAGTTTGGGTTTTTATTCCAGATACTATTATTACAAATCTGAGTACACAAGCAAAACCACAGTCCAGAAGTCAATTGTCAGCCAACAAAGATTTTTGCAGGATTTTTTTTGGTAGCAGTTGAGGGAGCGCATCAAGGCCACAAGCATCTATCTCTGTGGAATGAGTTATGGCATGTGTGGAGTTTCATAGTCCAATTCCTAAAAATCTTTTTATAGAAATAAAAGGTACCTATGTATAAAAGTCTCTTAGGCAGGTGCTCTGGACCCTTCATTTTTGCAGCTGGATTTGCACCAGTATGCTGATGTCTGGGGAGTGTGTTGAACTGAACGTTTTAGAACTTAGCTTTCATTAAAACACAAGATGTTGCAGCTCTTAAGAATGAAAATAGATCCCTGTCTTACAACAAATACAGTTGTGATTGAGATTTTTGGGCCTGGTCAGGCAGAGTAAGTTCTCCTGCTTTTTTTTTTCTTTGTTTTTCTACAAACTACAACTGATGTTATGTATATACATGCTCAGAAATATCTTCAGGAAAGTATTCTTTCATGTGTGACAAAAGTCTGTATATTCCACATTTCTGAGATAAGAAATCGTTCTGGTATTAAAGGGCTGAAAACTGGAGAGATTTCAGAAACATGTTGAACAGGACATTGTCTGGAAAACAGAACTTGTAGTGAGGCTTAAGAAGCTTAAAGACTTAATTCTCTTCCATAGAAGGCTACCAGGTGATGTGTTCATAGTATATTATTAAGGAAGAACTGTTACAGGTGAGAATACATTAACTTTGCAGAAATAATGGCATCTAGTATTTTAAAGACAGTTTCCTTAAACTTAACAGTACTTGTAAATTGCAAAATTATTCAGGGACCCAGTACACCCAAGTGATCCAGACAGTTATTTCAAGCAGTGGAAACTAACTAAAAGGGAAGGTCAGCTCTGCATTTTATATAGATTTCATAGGTGATTTTTGAGCAATGTATTGAAAGACTAAACAGGTGCAGAAGTCACTTATGAAAATCAGTAGTGTGAGCTTATGACTCATAGGAATTTATCATTGCAAAAGTGAAACTTCCCGACTCAGAGCTGAACTTAGACTTGGCTTCCTTGTTTTCTAAATGCTGTACTTCAGTGGTTCTTACATTAACCTTTTAATAAATGAAGATTATTGTTTTTCTTGCAGCCTCCTGAAAAAGAAGGTGGTTTACCACGTCATGTTGGAAACAAAACTGAATGTGCCTTGCTGGGTTTTCTTTTGGATTTAAAACGTGATTATCAGGATGTACGAAATGAGATCCCAGAAGAGAAGTTGCACAAAGTGTACACCTTCAACTCTGTTAGAAAATCTATGAGTACTGTGTTAAAAAACTCTGATGGCAGTTTCCGAATTTTCAGTAAAGGTGCCTCTGAGATAGTTCTTAAAAAGTAAGAACAGCTACTATTGTACTTTAGCACTTTGAATTTGGCTCAACTTTGTGAGACTGTAAACTGCTGAACAACATTATGCTGTAGTCTGCAAATTATTTCTGTAGCTGTGTTTATGAACAAGTGCAACAGTCCTGTACCCTTGAAATAGCTGCTAGTTTCCTGTCTTGTGTCTCTTGATTATTTGACTTCATGCAATAAAATGGGAAGGAACACTTGAATAACTTTAAATCTAATGCACTGAAAGATATAAAGCAGAAGTAGAGCGCTTCAGCGTGTGATTCTGGTACAGGCAAGCCTGTCTAGTTAAACCATCGTAATTTTAAGTGTGGAAGTCCTGGCAGCTGATCCATTCAAATTCTGTCTGGAGTTTGGTGCCTTTGCAAAAAGATTACTCCCAGCTCCAAATGACAGTGTGAATGGGTGTCAAAGCTGATTACTTTGATAGAAGGTTGAACCTTGAGTAAAAGAGAAAGTTAATTGTTCTTTTAGTATGACAACGCAAGTTGTTTCCTTACTTGTCTGCCCATTTCCAGAGGCCTTTTGTTTTATTTGCTAGACTGTTAGTGAGAGATATGTTGCCATTGGAACAAACCTTAGTATATAGAAAGCTGTGGTAACTCCTAAGCAGGCTAGGGGAGAAGGCATGTGTGCATTATGTTATGTTGTCTAGGAGCTGTAGTTGTAACCAGTCTGTTTTCAGTCCTGGCTTCAAACTCTTTCTAGTCTTAATAGTAGCATGTACCATCTTAACTTCTAGCTTGCTACCCGGCCCCAGGATCACCATGTAGGGACATACTAACATGCTAAGTAGAAAGGATAATTTTTCTCCTTCTCCACCAGCTTAGCGCTCACAGCAAAATGTCAGTCTTTCAAGGACTTTCTAGTTCCTTTTGATACAGAATCAAAAATAATTAATAATTCATATCTAAATCTTAGCTAGATTTTAAGCCAAGCTTCATCAGTAAGTCTGCTTACACGTGCATTTCTTCTAGCTTTGGGGAATTTTTTTCTTCTTTTGTTGTTAAGTAGTTGAACTTTAGAATATGCTAGAACTCATTCAGCCTTGACTCATGCGATTCATTTGGCTTCACATCGGAGATAATAAATAGTGATAGCTAAGAAAGAACAAGAAAATATGGAGTGATTTAGATGGTACTGAAGTAGCTGTAAGCCTGAAACTATTTGAGCAGCACCATCCGAGAAAGTCTTAGCGGTTTTCTTTATCTTCTGTCTGTGCAGTGAAAGAAGTTGATCATAACATGGCTTGCCAGTTGTGCTGCACATTCTTCACTATCACAGAAATGACTACTGAGCACTGAAAACTTAAACATGAATATTTATATAAATAATAATAATTATTATAATTATTATTATAATAATTAAATAATATAAATGAGTCACCTGTAAGTGTAGAAGAAATGCTGCAAAACTTTTCAAGCAGAGCAGCTTTTCTTCTTTATTTACACTCATGTCTCAAGTCAAGTATTTTAACTAAAACTTGTTTCATTCTTGACATAAAACTTACTGATTTCCATATAGTCATCTCTGTATACTTGGGATTACTCATGAACCCTGTGATTGGTGATAATGTGAGATACATGCAGTGGTTGCTGACATTTGAACAGGTAACCCAAATCAATGACAGACTTCAAATTTCCGTTGGAATGAAGTTGTCTATCAGATCTCTCAGGTGTTGTCAAAATGTCATAAATCCTTGGCTTTTTTTCAGTGTTATTAGCACTGATTTGTGAAACAAGCTCTTATGGTTTTGTGTTAAAGTCTTTGGTAAAGACTCAAAGGAACAAAATTAAATTTATTGTTAAAAGCATTTAGTAGTGTTACGTTTGCGACATTATTAGTAAAGTATGTATGCTCTAGGAAAGCAATGATGTCTAGGCATAAAGAGACTAAAATAACACAACTTGAAGTGCTAGAGTATGTTATTTTGAGCCCAGTCTCTTAATTTTTTTACAACAGCTTGAAGTATTTGTTTTTTATTTAATGCTTTATTTTTAAGAACTGCCGAACTCTCTCAGAATTGGTAACGTGTGTGTTGATTATTTTGTAAACCTTTGTACTGACAAAGCATAGTACTGGTTCTTCATACCATGCGAGTTTGCTTTTCATTCTGTAAGTTTAGTGCTGAGGCATTGTGTGCATGTTTTGGAAGCTTACTGTAGTTCTGAGCCATGTGCAACTGTTAAAGGTGGGACTATTTTGTTGAACTTGAAACTCGATTAACTGACACAGCTAGTGCATTTACTACATTTAAGTACAATGAGAAATGGTTACTCCTGGGAGGTAACTAATTTTGTTTCCATAATTTACAGAGCATTATTTTCATCCCAGGACAACCATCTCAGTGAACAGCTAGCATGTTTTGCTGTTAGGAAGAGATTAAGTGCATACGGAGAAGATTATCTGCTAGTGTGTCTGTCTGGAAGAGTAAAGCTTGTGGAAACTTAAACAAGTTGACTAATCAACCACTTCCCACAAAAGTCTGAACTTTCATAAAGATCTGTTAACTTTAATTTTTTTCTTTTCAGGTGCTTCAAAATACTGAGTGCTGATGGAGAACCAAAGGTATTCAGACCTAGGGACCGTGATGATATTGTTAAAACTGTAATTGAGCCAATGGCTTCTGAAGGGCTCAGAACCATTTGTTTGGCATTTAGAGACTTTCCAGCAGGGGAACCAGAGCCAGAATGGGACAATGAAAATGACATTGTTACTGGTCTGACATGCATTGCTGTTGTTGGGATTGAAGATCCTGTGAGACCTGAGGTAGGGTCACTGTGTAAGCTGCAGTGTTTCTGTTTCAGGAGGTCCTGGTTCATGTTGTTTTCAGTCATGCAAACAGTGAGTTTTGCATCTTTAGCATAGTTAATAAATGAAAATCTTATTTCTTAGGGGGAAAAGTTAATGTAGCTACAAAAGCAGATTAAAACCTTAATGACACTTATGCTGTGTTACTGAAGCTCTGTACAAACTAATGACTTAAGGCGCTTACTAAGCAGTGTCTCAGTAGATGGAACAACTGGTCTTTTTTCTTCTTTAAACTACTAGGAATATTAGGAGTATGGATTAGGATCATATTAGCTATTGTGTTTGCTGCAAGGTTCTAAAGGGGAAGAGGATTTGTTAACTGAGCTAAGGAGATCTGCTTGTGGTTGAAGTCTATGGAGGGCAGTGTTTCTCAACAGTAAAAGCTTTTGTGATTTAAGGGGGTCTTCATTCTGACCCACATTAGTGTCACTTCACAGTCAAAGTTGTGGGCTGACAAGTAGTGTGTGAGCTGTGGTTCATTTTAACATAATCATAAACGTAAAGCCAGTACTTAGTACTTTTGACTGCTACTCCATAACATGTATCATGGGACTTTCTGTGGTGGATTTGCACACTGCAGTATTTGGAAAATAAAGGGGGAATAAATGGGACAGACAAAACAAAAAATAACCAGGGTGTGTGTGTTTTTCAGGGAAATGATGGAGGCAGGTTACTTAAATTTCTTACATGTTCCTTAGCAGCATGTTAAAATAAGTTGTTTTGGTTTGACTTGAAGACACTTCACTCACATGTCTATGTGAGTTTGTCATGTGAAAGTCATGTGAATTTGTTAATTTATGAAGTGTTTGTATAGTCTAACTTTTTGTTTTTTTGTTGTCTTCACTTTTTGCATATAGGTACCTGATGCAATAAAAAAATGTCAGCGTGCAGGCATAACTGTACGTATGGTCACTGGTGATAACATTAATACTGCTCGTGCTATTGCATTAAAATGTGGTATTCTGAATCCTGGTGAAGACTTTTTGTGCTTAGAGGGCAAAGACTTTAATAGGAGAATACGCAATGAAAAAGGAGAGGTAAGCATGCTGACTTAAGTTGGATCAGCTATTTTGTAAAGGCTTGTAATTGCAAAATATACCTGATGTTCTTTTTACAGATAGAGCAAGAGCGAATAGATAAAATTTGGCCAAAGCTACGTGTTCTTGCAAGATCATCTCCTACTGACAAACACACTCTTGTAAAAGGTAAATAAAAGTTATTTGAACTTCCAAGTAAAGTTCTATTTCTAGAGAAAAATAGGATTACAATTTGTGGGAAATGTCAATGAGGGTGTCTTCATATGCCAACTCTTTTTTTTTTTTCTTCTTTTTTTCCCCGAGAGATAAATAATAGATGGTTCTAGTTGTGTGTTTTTGTTTGTTTGAGGATGATAAAATGACTTTCTCTTTGAACCTCAATCTTTGTTGTATTGTCTGTTTTGAACTATAATACTGAGATGTCATTTTACTTTAGGTATAATTGACAGCACTATCTTTGATCAGAGGCAAGTTGTAGCAGTAACTGGTGATGGTACCAATGATGGTCCTGCACTGAAGAAAGCAGATGTTGGATTTGCTATGGTACGACTTTTTTACTTTCAGTATTTTGAACACTTTTTTAATAAAGCAGTTTATCAAATCACTTTCAAGACTCAACAGCCTTACTTGTTTCATGAGCCTTACGTACAGCTCAACTAATTACTTTTTTGGTCAGTTTCCCATTTTTTTTTATTTGATTAAAAATGTCCTTCTGGCTTTTGCCAATGAGTAGAATGTACAGACTTACACTGCAGATCCTTAGTCACTTTTACACAAAAACTTGTTGCACTGCAATTCCTGATACTGAAATATTCCTGAAATGAGATCTGTTCAGCATATGGCAAAATGACCTGACGTGGTAAACAGCATACAGTGGCTTTCAGTAAGCCTTATATACGATATGGATTAAGTTTATTCACCTGTGTTCTGTGAAATGATGCAGAAGAACAGGGAGACTTGGAGGACAAAAAGTACAAGTTGATATTTAAAATGCCTTTGGAGGTGGTACCAAGACATCTTGTACATTCTAAATAAAACAGCATATTCATAGCAGCCTAGGATCTGCGTTTGTCTGTATGAGCTCAGAAACACTTTCTCAGTTAAAATTCTCAAACACTCTTTGAAATGGTAGCCAAACAAAGTCTAACTGTCCATGAAAATTAACTGCTGGGGATAAAACATTTTAGCCTAAATTTTGCATGTGTTCAGTACGCCTTATTGCAGAGACCTAAGCAGCCTACAGTAGCTAAGGGAATTGTATTGTTCTTCCTGAGCTGACTTGAAGGAATTAAATAGCTGACTTATCTCTTCTCAGTTAATAAGTGAACATTAAAAAGATGTTAAAAATTTAATACATAAATGTGTCTTCCATAGGCAAGGCTTGTGTGGTGGCTTTTTTTGCTTTGTTTTTGTCTTTACTTTCATTGTGATTTATGTATTTGTTCTGCAGACCGGTTTGTCTATGTGGTACTAAATATTAGGAAAATTACAGCTAAGAATGCGAGTCCCTTCAAAACCGAATCACTGTCAACAAATAATTTAAGTTGCAGCTCCTTGTGCTGTGTTACAAATTTGGATTCAAATTTATGTAGGTAGACTAGTGTATATTGCTTTCCCATGGAATGATAGAATCGTACTCAAAGATAACTTTAAGTTGTATGCATAGATGGGCAGGTGACTTTTTCTAGTAAACATCAAGAATAAGGATCCTTACATTTCCTATTAAGTTGTAGTTAGGGCATTTAAAAAAAGAAAAACCCCACCTTCTTTAAGTGGATATTACTTAACTCATAAACTAAGTTTAATTTTTTAGATATGTAGGAGATTCCAGGTGCTTAAAACCTAACAATATCATTGCATTGCAATGTTAAATGCAGTTATGCTTAATGTTCTGCTTTTCATTGCCAACATTCTTCAAAAAGCTTTTGGCAGTGTGCATCACTTTACCATGTAGGTACACGTGTATTTTCCTACTCCTGGAATCTGTATAGCATGTGGATTAAATTGTAGTACTGCACCATCTGGTGGCCTTTAACTTGAACAGGGAAAACTTGCGCAGTGTGGTTTTTATTGTCAGCTTGAGATTTCTTTATTCATTAAAATCTTTAAAGTAAAGATGAGGATTTTTTGTGTTTTCCATTCTGCAGTAGAATGTGGAAGCAAGACTTGCTGCAGCACAGCTTTAGGTTGTTTACGTTAAAGTAGTTCTAAAGACGTGGGGCATTAAAATGAATGCTGATATGCTGACCAGGGATGTAATTGTCCCTACTATATACATCAGTGCATCCTGTTGCATTTCCTAGCGTTTTTCTTTTTCTACCAGGGAATTGCTGGAACTGATGTTGCTAAAGAAGCTTCTGACATTATCCTTACGGATGACAACTTCACAAGTATTGTAAAAGCAGTTATGTGGGGACGGAACGTATACGACAGCATTTCTAAATTTCTGCAGTTCCAGCTTACTGTCAACGTAGTAGCAGTAATTGTCGCTTTTACAGGAGCGTGCATAACACAGGTGTGTACATTGGTAGATACAGCTAATAAATGCTGTAAATATCATGACTGACTCTCTTGAATTCAACTTTCAGGTGTATGCTAGCCTGAAGAATGTAATGGTCTCCATTCAAAATGTGACAGTGTTTTATAATAAATGCCTTTAATAGCTGCAGTTTGTTCACTTACTCTGGAGAGAGCTTACGTTCCTGTCTTTATAGGATTCTCCACTTAAAGCTGTGCAGATGCTGTGGGTAAATCTGATAATGGACACATTAGCTTCTCTTGCCTTGGCGACAGAACCACCCACTGAAGCTCTTCTATTGCGAAAGCCTTATGGTAGAAACAAACCTTTGATTTCTCGTACGATGATGAAGAATATTTTGGGTCATGCATTCTACCAACTCGTAGTGGTCTTTACGCTCCTGTTTGCTGGTAAGCACTGAAACTTTGCCAAGCTGTAGGGAGATGAAGCCTTAAAAACTATTCATTTATTTTTGTCCTAATTCTAGTACATGCTCTATCTATCTGTGTGTGTGTATAAAGCCACCAATTTAAGCTGCTGATACAATGTCTTTTATACGCAGGTGAGAAAATTTTTGATATTGATAGTGGAAGAAATGCACCTCTGCATGCCCCTCCTTCAGAGCATTATACTATTGTCTTTAATACGTTTGTAATGATGCAGCTTTTTAATGAAATTAATGCCCGGAAAATTCATGGTGAAAGAAATGTTTTTGAAGGAATCTTTAACAACGCTATCTTCTGTACTATTGTTCTGGGAACATTTGTTGTGCAGGTGAGTAACTTATTGCTTACCTCGGAAATGCTAACCAACTAATGCTTATGCAACCAGATGTTTTATTTCTGCAGTGTGAAGAATCTGCAATGTCACACTATTCAAAAATAAATACATTATTAAAATAATAATAATTTTCAAGTCTTGCTTGACAAGGTCTTCAGGTATAACCTCATGAAATTGTCAAAATCAAATGTTGAACTACTTGTATATACTTTTTGAATTTTCTTTCCCTCTCTGTGATCCCAGTTGTCCAGTCTTTTGACAGTTTCTCAAGAGGCTGTATGTATTTCTTACAGAAATCAGTTGTCTGTATTGATGCTGTTGTTTTAGGTCTTATTTTGGCATGAAACACTGATGTCTGGGGACCTTTAGTTGGTGCATCAGATTTGTAAGAGCTGGCTGGTTAAATCTCTGTTTACTAACAAGATGAATTAAATTAACTGAAATAAATCAGACTAACATCCTGGTGTTGAGAAAGACCAAGTCAAAATCCAATTAAAGGAAAATAATTGACACAAAATATTTTTACCTTCTAATTAACCTTTATGTTTAATTAATACAAATAACAGTGAAATAACCAACAATTTGATTTTTATATTCTTACAATTTATTTTTTTTCATTTTCTCACAGTTTATTTTGGATGTGAGTAATCTAAGGTGTAAGATGAATCTTAACCTTGGAATTCCTTGGAGTTAACCAAACGTATAACAGTTCAAGCAATGCAAGTGTATGCATTGTGTAAAGTTGCTTCACTTAATCTACTTCTAAATTTCTTCAGGAGAATCTTTCTCAAAAGCTGCTTCTATTTTTAGAGCCATAAGTGCAGCAGACTTGTTTTGCAACAAATCCAAATACGTAAAAATTATTCCTGCCTGCAATTATGTTCTCTTTATCAGCGATTCATAAGGGGCTTATCTTCCTATATAACTTAGTGCTGTGTTTTTTCATAGTGTCCTATTCTTTGTTAATAAAATAAGATGCTCCTGGGCTTTCCAGGTCAGGAGCCCTATTTAATGGCTGATACTGTCTCCTTTTGACACTTGCCCTACTGCTTGAATGTTTATTCTCCAGGGCAGTGTTCCATGCATATAGTTCCTATGCAGTGGGATACCTTGCTCATTAGAGCCCATGCAGCTTGTTCTAGTAGTTAAGTCAGTGGGAATGTGTTTAACTTGGCTTTCAGATTTCAGCTCCTCATCACAGTTTGCCATATAAACTCTCATGCTTAAGACTGGGATACATGGCAATATTCTGTTGAATGATTTCAGAAATCGTGTTTGTGTTTTGGGTATCTAAGACTTGCATTAATAGAAGATCATTAGTTAACTGGGTTCTGAGATAGCTGAACTAAATTTGTAGCATCAAGTACACGCTGTAAATGTTAAATGAAGGGGGAAAAGTGTAAGGACAAAGAAGCAAAAAACATTTTTTTCTTTTTGTGAACCATTTGAAGAATAATAATAAGTTCTTAAAATACTGAGAAAATTGCTTAGATTTGGAAATATAACTCAAGCTGCTGAGACGGTAGAAGTGTGTGCTTAATGAGATAGTAAATCCAGTGTTTTAATGCAGCATTGTCTATGCCGATCTTGAAGCTTCAGGGAGTTTTCTATTAATGGATCACTGACACATGTTTAATGGTATTGCTCTTCACAGATAATTATCGTGCAGTTTGGTGGAAAGCCTTTTAGTTGCTCAAAACTCTCAATTGAACAGTGGCTGTGGTCTGTTTTCCTGGGCATGGGAACACTACTCTGGGGCCAGGTAAAATAGGTTTTTTCCAAATGTCAAATCCATTTGTGTTAATGAATTTGTATTTTTCATGTAAAGCATTTTACCTTAAACATTCTGATCTTTGAAGTGGACTACGTAAATTTGTAGAAATTAACAGTAAATGCTGCCTAAATTTATCTGGGTTAATAGCTAGAAAGTCTGTGGTTAGACATTTCCTTACCATGACTTGATTATTTGGTTATAAGTCATAACTAGATACTGTGTCTGGTTTAGGACAGTTAGGAGGAAGTTTTTGGACAGGTTGCCCAAGGAGGCTGTGGATGCCCCATTCCTGGAGGCATTCAAGGCCAGGCTGGATGTGGCTGTGGGCAGCCTGGTCTGCTGGTTGGTAATCCTGCACATAGCAGAGGGTTGAAACTTGATGATCATTGTGGTCCTTTTCAACCCAGGCCATTCAGTGGTTCTATGTTTGTGTTCAGTTATTTTTAACTAGAAGCAGCTGTAGTTGCCTTTGAATATGAAATTGTCTTCAGCCAGATAATAAACACTTTAAGAATTTCTATAAGAACATAAGGCAATTAATATACTAATGTTTCAATACATTTAATGTGGTGTAGAATGGTTTTCTTGAAAAATGAGAACTGCTATACGTGCTAGTCTTTTTTGTTTAAAGATATCCTAGAGTAGCAAGAAATGCAGCAAAACTCAAACGTTTTCTCTTTAAAATTCTTCATTTGCATAATTATGAAATATACTTTTAAGCTTACTGCATTTTGATTATTTTCTTTCTTGGGGTTTCTTTGCTATTGCACATGTAACAGTGCTTGCAAGCTTATTTACATGAAACTTTAGAACTCTGTGTAGTTTCTCATTAGTTAATGACATGGTTGTCTAAATTCTTCATACCACATGAAGAGTTTTCCAGTACAGTTTTTTCCCTTCTAATTTGTAAAGAATACCTTTTCAGGATGAATTTTAGTTGTAAATAAATACATAAATGCGTATTCTAAATGTGGGTCTAAACTTTTTAAGAAGGTTTTTGGAAAACTGATTATTTTTTAAAAATTGAATAGAGTCATGCTGAGGTTTAAAGGTTGCCTCAAAGAGAGTCATGTAGCTTGAGATATCTTTGATTCCAGAGCATCCTGGAAAGGCAGAGCTTCCCTGCTGCAGTTCATGCTGCTCTAGCATCTGATCATAGTGAAAGGGCTTTTGACTTTCTGCTAATAGTAGAAACTGAAGTCATAGTAACAATGTCAGTATGAAAGGCAGTTTATCTTGCTTTTGGAGCAGTGTTTTTCCTCTGCAGCTGCTGAAATGGTCTTCTAGATTAATGATGCTCAAGGAAAGCAGGCTTGGAACTGATGTGGATCTGCTAGATGGGATGTATCAAAAGATGATTCTCCTTCACTACATAGTTCAACAGAATAGCCCTGAAGGTGGGGATGAAAAGGAAAGCTGGAACAGACACACATAGCTTCTCTTTAGCTTCAGCTAGATTAATTAATTAAAAATAAGTAGCAATTTAATGTGAGCAACTAGCAATTTAGTAGTTTTATATAAGGGTTTTGGAAACATCGCTTGCAAGTGGATCAATACCATTCAGGAGACAAAAGAATGCCTGCCTCTTCTATGTTTCTGAATAAGCTGTGGCTACTTCTAATTAAATGTTGTTGAGGTTGTAAGAAAACTTAGGCTTGTGCAGCTATTCAGCTGGAGTGATGGCTCTACATTGACACTTATCCCGTTCATGTCTTTTTTTTATTCAACTTTGCTAATCATATATACAGGATATTATGTTAAACGCCTATGATTATGTTCTTTTCTTTTTTTTCTTCCCTTAAAATAATAATAATTCTGATCCATACTTCTTATTCGCTGTTAGTTGATTTCAACAATTCCAACTAGCCGCCTGAAATTCCTGAAGGAAGCTGGTCATGGAACACAAAAGGAAGAGATTCCTGAGGAAGAGCTAGCAGAAGATGTGGAGGAGATTGATCATGCCGAGCGAGAATTACGTCGTGGTCAGATCTTGTGGTTTAGGGGCCTAAACAGAATACAAACTCAGGTATGGTCTTGGAAAAGGTAGGATGCGGTGCGTGTTAGGAGGGAAATCGCTCCTTCCATCCCTTTGACTAAGGTGGCAGTTTTAAATGGTGTGGATGAGACTCTCGAGGGGATATGGATGACTGTACAATCCCTCAGGGTTCTCTGTTTTCTTCTGCTCTAAATTCAACTCTTACCTGTTTATCTACTGTATTTAAAAAAAAAAAAAAGTGCCTTTTTTCTTCACTTTTTGTGTGCTATAGATGGGGATGGTCCTCTCTTGTTCTCTCTCTTTCTCTCTCTCTTGCTGAGCAAGCTGTCACAATCTCTGATTCCTTGCAGATGGATGTAGTGAATGCTTTCCAGAGTGGAAGTACCATTCAGGGGGCTCTAAGGCGGCAACCCTCCATCGCCAGCCAGCACCATGATGTAACAAATATTTCTACCCCTACACATGTAGTGTTTTCCTCTACTACTGCTTCTACTACTGTGGGGTGTGAGTGTGTGTTCCTAAAGTGCATGAAGTTAACATTTCCTGATTCACATACCTAACGTTTCTCATTTTCTCCTTAGTACTTAAACTCATCGTTCAGGCTTTTCATAGAGCTTTTTCACAAAGTGGAGTCCTCAAGACTTTTTTTTCTTAGAGGGCTGAGAACAGGTGGAACAATTGCAACAAAAGACTTTCACTTTAAAGCTGTGAGCCTGCACATCCTGTGCCTTCATCCATTCGTGTACAGAAGAATGTTTAGGATAAAACAGGAAAACCGTTGTAAATTTTCGAGTATATGCCTTGAAAGTCACCTTACATGGGTGCCTTCTGTTGAATAAGCAAATTGATTAAATGTATAATCAAAGTGTATAATCGTAGACCTAGTTTCATTGTCTTGCACTACGCACAGCACATGATATTTGAAAAGGCGAAGAAACGGATGGAAAAGCAATGCAGTTTTAAAAATATGAATGTAGTTAGAACATGGAACACTAAATGCATTTTCTTTGTAGCTTGTGAGGAACTTCTGAGTTTCTGCTTTCAGTGGACTTTTTTTTTTTTTTACTGAATAACACAACTTTCTCAACATCAGGATTCAGGTGGCGAAACAAGGCTTCTTAATTGCGTACAAGTCAGAAGAAACGTAGCTCATGAAAAAGAAGAAGGGCTTAAGGACTAAGTAGTGAAATTTCTGTTCACGTTTGAAGGGTTTCTTTTCCTTTCTAGGTTCTTCAGACAGCAGTTCATAAGCCATCAGTAACAGTACAGTTCTTGTCTCACCTCAATTCTGCCCTCTTTATATTGTACTCTAAGTGGCATTTCAGTTTCAGCCTTCCTCTTTGTAGAAGTTAGAGATTAAATTACTCATACGTAGGCTTAAATTATGGAGTCTGAAGATGTGTAACAGTTATAGATACTAGCCTCTCAGTATTCAACTGTTGTTGAAATCATTTTCCATCTTAGTTATGTATTATATGTTTAACTGCCCTAACTTCCTATAGACCAGTTAAATAATTGTTTTTTAAAATAACTGTGAGAAGGCTTCTTTTCCCCACCCCTGCCCTGCTTTTTAAGCTTTCAGATTACCAAGTGGATGAAGACCCTTAATTTCAGGAGCTGCCTTAAATGTTTTCTTCTGATTTCTTTATTTTTATGTTTTTCTTTTTGGCATGGCCAGAATTTCTGTGTTAGCTTGCACAAGCTAACTTGTTCTCCCTTGGCGACACAGATACTTCCCTACCCTGCAAGTGAGCAGTGTTGAGAAGCTTAGCTCACAAATTTGCATGCCTGAAGCACACAAAATGAAAAGTAGATTTCACAGTAAGGATATGCAGGATTGCATCTCCTACTTAAAATGGTAATGAGTAACCTGTATCCCTAACTACACTCAAGAACATTAATTAGACATTGAGAACTCTCTAGAGAGCAACTTCATGCCATGCTGTCATTTGAGCAGAACCTAATGGGTACTGCATCATCTCATTGCATCAAATGACCAATGCAGATACAAACCTACAATAGTAAAAAAACTAGTTTTTGATCCTCACTATGAAATACAGCCTTCTGCTATTCCTGCTAGGAGATCCTCTTTTGATAGTTAATGTATATTAGTGGCAAACAGATAGGTTTATTCATTTTGTCTTTTTTGGAGCTGTTAGCTGGAAGGTAGTTCACATGTACTGAGGTTGCTACTCCAAAGGAGCTGTCTGGCCAGGAAGATTTGCATTCCTTGCTATTCTTTCTGGTACCTACTATAGGATAGGCCTGATGATATAACAAATTGTCCTGTTTGCTCCTCGCTTATGCAATTTTATTGTTAGCTATCTCATCTCATTATCTTTAGTAACTAAAAATAAAGCCTTAAAAGTGATAGATGTTTCTCTTTTAAGTGTAAGATAAAGTGCTGGTAGTCTGATTCTAATCTTCGTGGCCAGACCTTATGAGGGTCCTCGGTTTGTAGGATCATCATGCAGGTCAATTGTTTGTCTTTTGTGAGTCACATTTTTATTGTGGATATTCTTCTATCCTTATGATAATTACAGCTCTCCTAATAAGCTAAAAAACTGTGTTTCATTACTGCTTATGTTCTAACATAGCATCTGTAAGCAATGAAAAACAAGTTCCATGAGGCAGTCGTATTTCATTTTGCCACTGAAATCAGTGGCACAGTGGGATGCAACATGCCAAATAAAGGCATTGTAAACTTTCAGTCTGACTCTGTCACTCCTACTGATTCACTTGGAAAGTGACAAGAGATTTTATGCAGCACTCTGGATTTGTTTAAATCTCACATAACATGCAAACTCTTAAAGTGTGCTCAGTTTTTCATGTGATAAACAGTAAAGCATTAGATGCTGCTGTAATGATTTCTCTCTCAAGCACAACGCTATTTCCTGTTCTCTCCATTTTGAATATTACGTATCCTTCCTGTCCTCTTGAAGTGATTTTCATCATCAGTGGAGCCCAGTTGTATACCTGCAGTATGAAAATGTGGACGTTATAGCTTTTTAGTAAAATTCTTAGTGAAAGTTAGGGCGGGGATAGGGGAAACAGCACCTATTTCTGGATCTCAAAGAACGTGGTCAGAATCAAATGTGTAGAGCTGCTCTGATAACAAACTTGATACACTGCTGCTGGAGAGTCCTTCTCTGTTTGCACTAAAAGGATGTTTGGTGTATCTTAACTCTTCAGAAGTCATCATTCCTGTCCTGCTTGACCTTCCAGCTTCATTCCTTCACCTGGAGTTGCTTCTTTTTTACTACTAAGGAACTCAACACATCCTGTATGGAAGCAGTAATCCTGATACACCTCTCGAAGTCATCTCAGATGTCCTAGAAAATCTTTTAAAATTTGACTTACTGTTCTGTAACAGTAAGTTGGTCTGTACTACAGAGTTTTGCTCTGCTTCTTATTGTACTACACAGAACTTTTTGTGTACTTTCCTGAAGACTTACTCAGGTTAATTAGAGATGTTGAGTATTGAGCAGGCAGAAGCTAACAGAAGCTGGAGAATGTGTTTTGATCAAAGTATTGGACAAAGGGGTCATTGGTTTTCTATTAAATATTTTATATAAAGTCAAGAATGAATCCTGAATTCATGTAGTTGGTCAGGGAAAGGTGGAGCGCAGGAGGTAGGAGCAGGTGGCTTCATCCTTCACATCGCAATTAGAAAAGTGTAAATTCCAGTCATCTTGGACATGCACATTTTGTAAAATGAGCTTGCACCTTTTCCCTATCCAATTTCATGTCTAATTTCTTTCTGAAATGTTTGTTTATGGTTTCTTTAAACTTAGTGTTCTGATTTGCACATGTTAGTTAAACAATGAAGAGACCTGAAATTACAGTCAGCCTGGGGATTTTATCCATGAATTCAGTGGGAGTTGAAAATTCAAATAAGCTAAAACTGATCACCTGCTTCTCTCGTATTTAGTGCTGCTTGAACAGTCTCTTCCAAATTGTAACCTGTAGTAGCTACATCTTCAGTATACAATACAGCATTCAGTTTCCTAGTTCTGGTGTTTAGCTTCCAAATCATTAGGTAAGAAACTTTCTCCAGTGTGTTAGATGGGTATATACTCGAACATTTACAGCTGTTTATAGTTAGTCATATCCTTTTTTTGCATGACTTCGTTACTGTCTGGTCATTGTGACATTGGCTTACACATGCTTGGCTTCTTCATAGTCAGTTGAAATCCTAAATTCCCAGCATGAGAATTAGTAACTCTTTTACCCTTTAACTTATTTTCAGCCTTTTCCACCCCCCCCTCAGTATTCTATAAATCTCACTGAAAATTATTTAATTTGTGAATAAGTAATTGTTGGCCTCCTTTAGAAAAAAAAAAATGCTTAGCCCACGTTAAGTAATTGAACAATTCTAGTGCCATGTCTGAATTTTAGGCCCTTCAGCTTCTTGCAGTATTTTCACAGTTTCTATTCCTACTCTGTAGACTGGCAGTGCTCTACTGAAATGCTCTTCATTTTTTACAGTTTATTGCAAGTTCCACTGCATCACATACAAATTCGAATCACTCATGTCTAGCTGTTTGTGGACTCAAACTCATAAGAACCATGTCACTACCAGTAAATCTGCAGCACGTTAACACCTTTTTTTCTTTGTTTACAGATACGAGTGGTGAATGCATTTCGTAGTTCTTTGTATGAGGGGCTAGAGAAACCTGAGACACGAAGTTCAATTCACAATTTTATGACGCATCCTGAGTTTAGAATAGAAGACTCCGAGCCTCATATTCCCCTTATTGATGATACTGATGCTGAAGATGACGCTCCGACAAAACGCAACTCTACCCCCCCACCCTCTCCCAATAAAAATAACAATGCGGTTGACAGTGGAATTCACCTTACAACAGACATGAACAAGTCTGCTACCTCTTCATCCCCAGGGAGCCCGCTACATAGTTTGGAAACATCACTCTGATTGTAAGCTGAATGTTAACACACTAGCTGCATTGTAAAGAAATCGAAACTGGGTCTCTTCACACTTTATGATGGACAAGATGAGATTCTTGTCTCGGACTTCAACAGAAGACACACTTGTACGAATGTAGATTTATTTTTTTAAAAAAAGCTTTCTGCCAGACTGGAGGGTGCTTTTCTGGGGGTGGGAGTAATAATGAACTCTGACAGATGAACAGTAACTCGGCATAAGTGACCTGTGGATCATCTGTTGTACTTAAGAATGGTCCTGAACGGTGTGTTAGCAGAGCTTTAGTTTATCATGATCCTTTTTTGAGGGGAAGGCTGGGAAGGGCAAGGAGGCCCTGGATTGTTGAATTGATACTTTAATTTCTGCTGTTGGCTGTTAATAATTTGGATTATTTATGTTTATAAATGATACAGATCTGTTTACAAGGTTTGTAGATACTTTTTTGTTCCTGTTCATAGATGGGAAGCTTCCTTATAAATGATGCAGAGAAAAATAATAATAATTAAAAAAAAAAAAACTAGTCCTTCAAATACTGCTGTATTTTCAGGAAAAGGGTGTTTCTATTGAAACTGTACTAAATTTTGCCTGCAATTTACCTTGTTAAATATTGTAGATAAATTGCTGATACTAATAGCCAAATAGATAACACTAATGCTTTGTAAAAACATGAGCAGTGGTGTTCTAATGAAGTTATGGCCTCTGTCCTGATTAGTTTCTTAAATACATTTACTACTTAATGGTTTTGAAACAACTGTTTAATTTTTAAAAATTTTGAGAAACTTACTGAATAACTTTTGTTCAGAACTTAGTAGGATTGTTTAATGCAGGACATCAATATGTGATGGAACTTGCTTGAAATATTTCTGTTATCTCGGGCAAAATGGATTAAATCAGAATACATCAGAATCTTAGTCCTTTGTTTTTGTCTAAACATGTTAGTTTAGTGCTGTCTTGGTGAACTGTGAGTGGAACTGTGATTTTTTTCTAATCTATAAAATCCTTCATGCAGCATGAGGGCTGTTGGCATTTTGAAAGGTTGTTAGTGGGTAGCATACATGTTCTCCTTTTTGTTTTTGAAACTTGTTTGTAAACATGAATAAACCTGCCCTTTTGTTAAAATAAAATTGCAGCAATGGTTTATTACAGATTTTTTTTTTTTTTTTTTTTTTTTTTTTTTTTGCCCTCATCTCCATCACAGGAAACACTGAAAAGTGCTCTCTTGTATTACTGGTTAAAACTACTGTTAGCTACAATTTCAAGATGGTAACAGCCCCACTAAAAGCAGGACTGTGGGTAAATGGAGTTGCCGTGGCTGCCTCAGAATGAATGTAAGATTAAGGTACTCACAAGTCTTCGCTGAGCCCAAAAGATGCTCCTTGGCAATGAATAGTCTGGCTGAGATTCTGAGATACAGAGATTTATAAGTACATCCCCTTGTAAAAGGAGGAAAAGAAGAACTGACCGATGGCACTGGTGAAAGTACACTTTCCACTTGAATAATATGCACCAAAACTAACCTGCTAGTGATAGACTGGAAGAGCCACGGTCTGCCTCCGCTGCATCCTTTAAACAGCTAAGGATGGTGGAGCAGCGCTGAATTTCCTGTTGCTGTGTTTTCCAGGTCCGTTACTGTTCAGAAGAGCATGAGTTTAATTCTGCGTTTCTTTTCGACAGCTCTGTATTCATAAGCGTAGTGTTTGCGTGGATCATTTTTCTTCTTTCCCAGAGTAGTCCATAATATTGAAGACTTTTTTTTTATTATTTAAAGCGGTCCCTTGGGAGGAACTACATTGGTAATGAGGGAGGAGATGATGATAGCAGAGCAAACTGCAGAAATGAGCAGTTGAGGAGACAAGCTCGAGCAGATCTTTTCCTTTGTGGTGGGATAACTTCATGCTTGCGTTTGTTCTTCAGTGGCTGATGTTGAATGTGTAGCACTGTATCCCACTGTCAACCACATCTGAATTCAGTCTTTTCTAGTTTACTGAAGAAAATACATTGAATTCTAGGCAAGGGGAGTTTGCACTTGACACTTTGTATACTACCTTCTCCCACGTGTTTCTAGCACTTCTCTCACTTCAGATATTTCTTACCTAGAGTGCTTGGTGGGGTAATCCTTTTTATGTACGTGGTTTTTCTCCCTACTACTGAAGTCAGTTAAGCATCGGTTTAAAATGTGGAAAGTTTCTTTACCCATAACAGTACGCCACCGTGAGAGGAAGATTCACTGTATCATAACTCAACTTGATTTTGAAAACAGTCTTTAGTTTTTCCCTCTTCTAGTTGTGCTCATGACTGCGTTGTATCTTTTGGAATAAATTCTACACGTAAGACTTTTGGGGGACAGGGGAGCAAATGTAGGCTTTGTACATCAGTGGTCCCTCTTGATTCTGTTAATATCAGTGTGCTGTTCTTTATAGGAAGTGTAAGTGAAACCTAAATAAGGAAAAGTTGTTGGGGGGGTTGGGGGAAGGGAATGCTTTCTTTGTGATCTCAAGAAATCATAACATGTTGCCTAGATTATGAAATGGTTATCACTAAGCTACTGAGGCCTTCATTGCCTTTCTGGTTGTAAGGTTTACTTGTCTATTGTAACTGAAATAAATAAATGTGCTGTTCATCTCAGTCTGTATGGGGACTGAAATTCTTGAATGTCAGTACAGGACTGATTTAAATCTGAAACGCATGCTTATTCTATAAAACAGCTCTTACTGCCATGACTTTAAGCTCAAGAAGTCAGAGTATGCATGGTATTATGATCAAGCAATAGTAACTAATCTAAATGTAGTTCTAGACTGACTTCCATTTGAATTCAGTATCTTGAATGGGATCTCTAATATATTTCCTTATAAGACAAATCTCAGGGCAGATAATGTTGGTTTTGGAGGAGGGGTGAAAAGTTGTTTGTTTTATAAGTGGTTTCATTTTTTCTATATTGATCTTGACAGGAGGAGGAAAAACCTTCAGCATGGAATAGTCTGAAGAGAAACAATGCTGTAATGTCAAACCAATAGGAAAACACAGGGGTCTGTAGCAAGTGTGAGCATCCAAGGACGATGAACTGACACCCAGGGATTTAGAACAGTAGGAAGCTTTCCAGTGTGTTTCCAAGTGAACAAGTAAATGTAATATTCATAGAAGGATAACTCATATTCAGCTGATGGTATTGGGAAGTTTTCCCAAAGACATAATGTGTGCAGCTTCTGCTAGCAGTGCCAGCTTCTGCAGTGTAATGTCTAGACAATACTAAGCCTTGTGAAAATTAAAGTAGAATGTCTTAGCATCCATTCTGCTTTTGCAATAGAAATGCTTGGTTATAAAGAGCTCCTTGCTTTTCCCACCACCATACCCTCCCCCAGGCAGTGTATATCTTCTGATCTTAGAGATTCCAAGCCCTCACTGAAATACCTTAACTTTTTTGGATGAACCTTACCAGCTCCGACTTAAACTTACTTACCTTGAGACAGAAGGTCTGGCTTGCTTGTTCAGGGTCATGTCCTGACAATTTTTGTGCCAGAGTCAAGAACCAGAGAGCTGCTTCAGCTTATCTCCTGATCTCTATGCAGAAATATCTAATCAATTTCTTCAGGAGATTACAGCACCAATCCAGGAGTTGGCTTACATGGTATCTAACCTAAAAGCCTCCTTCAGGTACTTAAAGGAGCCTGTATCATTTTAAAAGGACATAAAGATCTCAAAAAACTCAAATTCTGCTGATTTTTTTCACTGCTTTTCCTGGGGCTTAGCAGGGTTATGCACCTTTAAATAGGTGGACTACTCAGATATTAAAAGTGAATGCATCCTGTTTGTTTGTTTGTTTGTTTGAAAACATATTGCAAACAAATAGAAAGCTGTGTAAAATCCAAAGCTTAGGAAGGGAGTGCCTTTACCCTAGACAGCAAACTTAAGTTTGTAAGTAAGATGAAGTTTCCTTCAGACTGCATTCATTCCCACTAGCTCAGTTATTTACTCTTTTGTACTCTAGACTTAGCAGAAATGGAGGCATCAATTTTGTCACAGAACAGTAAAAGAAAATAAAGTTCCTGATTTTTTTATCATTTTATTTTTGGTAGTTAATGAATAAGATTAACGTGTGTAGAATTAAAAAAAAAAGCTCCTAAACTTCCTGTGAATACCTTCCTAAAACTTCTGAGTAAAGTGTTGCTCTTAAAAAAAAATAAAAATAAAAATAAAAATCCCACCAATGAACCCCAGAGGGTATATTAACTTTCTTTGACAATTTCGATTTTCTAAGTAAAGGCTTTAACCTGTCACTTTCCCTTTCCAGAAGTTGGTTGCTCTGATGATGGCCGTAGCTAAAAAGCATCTTTAGATTTAACCTAAGCTAGTCTCAAGATCTCCCGAAGGTAAGCAGCGATTTGGCCGATGTTTGTGAGGAAATGAGCTCATTTCTGATGCTGTGCTGGCAGGTACTGAGTAGTGTGTTGTGCTACGTACTGCAGGGGGGAACCTGCTGAACTGTCAAATCAGAACATTCAGGTCCTTGCCGGAGGACCTGTCAAAAGACACATGGGTGAGAACGTAGATTGCCTAAAATGGGGAGATTTTGGAATTGATATTTTGGTAAGAGGCTCTCGGATTTGCTTTATGAGCAGCAACACTTCTGCAGATGAGAAGGTAGATCTTTACTCACCAGACATTATGTGGGCCTCTACATTGTTTCTGACATCATACAACAGTTTAATACAGTGTTGGGAACCACCATATAACAAGCACTTCTATTAAACTACTAGAACTAAACTACTATGTAGTTTAAAATGAAAAGAAAAACCATCCACCAATCCTGGAACATTTATTTGCCGTGGTACTTTAATTTTCTAAGAGGAATAATTCCTAGCTTTTTTTCCTTTTACTGAATTATCTGGGCCATTTTAGTGAAACATAGCAGGAATGTGGATATGACCTAAAACCAGGTATGATTTCCCTTTTCCTTGCTTCTCCTTCCAGTTTGTCAAAGACTGTCCTAAAGAATCAGTGAAGGGCACGTGCAGTAAGAGGTATAATTATGGAGTTCTCCTGTATCATCCTTGGGCTTTGCCTTGGGTCTCTGCCTTCTACATCAAGATCTCACCCACTGCCAGCATGCTGGGAAATATCTGTGTTGTGGCTCTTCATTTTTTCCCCAGCAAATTATCAATTATATGCTTCAGATTTTAATTGGTGTGAAGGCCTAAAGAATTATATCTTAAACTAAGCACGGACACTCAATGAACATGAAAAGGAACAGTAGTGAATGGCAATTTCAGGCCAAGCATTTTTCCCAGGTAGTTGATACAAACATTGCTGTGTGCAAGAAACATTTTGGATCTGTCTAAAATAAGGGGACCCTCTACTGCTCTTGAGTGCAGTATGTGCAGTTCAGCTCCAAGTTAGAAGAGTCTGAATTCCTCCTGTAGTTGCCAGAGCCTGCACAGTCATTTGGGTGACTGATCATTAAGCATTCACCTTGGATGACCCACTGTCCTGGCTCTAGCAGACACTTGTGTAACTTTCAGCTGCCTCAGCATGAGTGCCTGGTGCCATTTTAAGCATGCTGATGAGCTGCTATTCTGAAACAGCCCAAGACTCTCTGGTGAAGGATCCCCTACTTGTTCAGGGCTGCTGCTGTGGTTGCATCGCCTGGGGCTAAATCACACGTTGTCAGTCTCAGTGCATCACTTCAGGCTCATGTTAAGCCATTAAACTGGTATGCTGAGGGAATCTGGAGAGAGCTGTCAAGCAGTTGTGTTAGTATTTGCTATCTGTGGTGAAAGGAAAACAAGAGTGCAAAAAAGGTGTACCGTACCTAGAGAAATCACTACAGATGAACTGAAAGTCTACAGGAACAAAGGAGATGGAGGTTATTCCAATCCTTCAATTCCTTCACATCAGGATTGAAAAGCCTTGAAAGAACTGCTTTGGTAGGGATTGGAGGGGGTTGGAGAGTCACAGAAGGAAAAGTTCCTCATGGGTTAGCTACAAGAAGTGAATAAGGCTTTCTGTGTATGCTGTAAGCTAGCAAAAGAAACCAACTATATTTTTTGAAAAACAAAAGGTAGTCTTGAAAGATTCATAACAGAGTTTATTGTGAAACTCCTGAGCAACAGTTTTGCTGCACCTTAAAATTCCCTTTCTTACCCTCTTTCAAAAACAGGCAACAATAATTTTTTTTTTTTTTTTTAATGAAGTAAAAACATTTGAGAAGTGACTTGCTTACTATCTGTTAAGGACAGTAGGACCTTTATATTGGCTTTATTTATGACAGAGCATGAAGAGAATTTGCAGTTGCATTTTAATACTCTGCTGCTCTATGCTTGAACTTGTTAGGTTTTGAGCCAAACTTTAAAGTATTTTAAGGAATGTACATTACTGAAATGGAAATCATAAAGAAAATCTGTGGATATCATTTGAGATGTTAACTTCTTCAGTACATTCAGTTGACTTTACTGCTGTTTCTTTCTCATTTTATCCCCCAAAATCAGTAGCAAAACTATCCAGTTAAATCAGTTTGCAAAATACAGTGTAACCTGCAAGTCACAGGCATTATGTTCAGACAAGAATGGAGACCCACAAATTTGGGAGCTGATGTTCACACTGTTTTATCACAGAGCTTAGCTGTTGCTATTCATGAGCTACGCAGATTTTGTGTAATGTCTAATCCCTGCTTCTTCTCCTTTCTCAGCTTACACTGCAGTTCTTCCGACAGCCATCTGGAAAGATATTCTGAGTTATAAAGAGGGGTACTGAGTTAAACCAGTACTTAAACATTCAAAACAAAATATTATTCCATCATTATTTTATGCAGATGGAAGACTATTCAGCAGAAAATAACACTTACGGAGGAAAATTCACAGCCTTTTTTTCTTCACAAACATTAAAGATGCTTCATGAGCCAGTTCAAGTGAAACTTCACAAAGTTCTACTGCTTTGAACAGGAACTTGTATAAGATGTCTGTCTGAGGCCCCTTCCAATCTGTATTATCCCCCCAATCCTATTTTTAAATACTCTTCAGTGACTATCTGTTAAACTTTGTTTATGCCCTCTAATGTTTGGTTTTTACTGCACAAATAGGGTTTGCTCAGCCACTTTGAGGTAGCAGTCTGTAATAGATGGGAAAGCCTACGGAAAGCAGTACTGCACTCACGTGGAAAGTGGCTGTTCCTCCAGGAAGAAGATAATTTGTCACTCAGTTATTTGGCTCTTTTGAATCATTCCAGTGTACAAAGAATGAAACCTACTTCTAAGGGAAACAAAGAGCTGCTTATTTGCAGATTGGTGTGGTTTCTTTGCCCTCCATTAGGGATGCTTGCAAGAAGTTGTTCCATTTTCTTGGAGCTGCTGTTTTATCCTGCTGGTTTCAAACACTGGTTTCTGAAAAATATGGTTCTCTTGTCATTGCACAGTGCTAATGAAATCTACATGACTGTTTAAATAAGAAAGAACAGAGCACAAATATATATTTTCAGTAATAGAAGCCTATAATTTCAATGGAATTGAGAAGCTGACTTTTCAGTTTAACTTACAGAATGGCTGTCTTTCAGGCTTTTTTGATACTGAGTGAAATAGTAAAAGAGAATGCAGCATCAGCTTCGGTGCTTCCTCTTCCGCCTCAAACTACAAAACA